AAGGAAGTTGTTGTCTGCCCAGATTATATAATATATGGGGATACGTATTGTGCAGAGTCAAGGTTAACTTTTTCATGCAGCTGTATCAAACTTGAGGGTTCAACTATTAATGGATCCAAACAAGCATTTAGTTTTGAATGGGCTGTTGAGGATATTGTCAATATTAAATCAGACTGGTATGCAAAGGTGAGGCATAGCAAGCATTCCATCGATTATTTCTTAAATTGTTTTATTCTTTTTTGAAATACAGTTAAATCGTGTTAATAATAAGGTTTGATCTTTTGATACCACCTATTGCAGGTTGAAACTGCTATTGTTAGTCTTCTTCTCAAAACAAAGGATTCCAAAAGATATGGAAATGTAAATGGAATTCCAGGTTTGCGCATTTCTTTGGGGGTTTTTCAGATCTTAATTTGGTATAGCATTATGGGTCAAATTTGTGTTGGTGTAGCAAGGGTGCACTTCTGCAAATGTCCCATTCTTGCCTGTAAGATGATGTTTTAGAATAAATTTTGATTCCCAAAGATTCAATTCAAGTTTTCCATTGAGATTTTGTGTCTTTTTTATTTAACCACCTTAAGAACTCATCAAAATAAAGCTCATTATAGCTAAGTTTTGCAATATCAGGAGATGAAACTTTCTTTTAGGGTTCAAGCTTATGTACATAATCTAAAGTTTCCATCAGAGTGTAGCAGAGCTTCCTTTTGTATACGGGTTTGGCACCTCCCTTGGTACCTGTAATTATTAGTACTGTTGATGTGAATATTTTGTTGTTTAAATAATTGTGATATTTTTTTGTATATAGCTCTCATTATTAATTTCTTGTAATTATTTAAAATCTCTATTATAAGAGAAAATTTTTTATTTGTACTTATAAATTTTTGTATATATATGACTTATTTGTAACACAAAAAATATAGTGGAAATAAAGTAAATATTTTTTCATAAATTTCTATATGGTATTAAAGTAGAGTAAGAGTATTTTAGGGTTTTATTTTTAGGATTTCTTTTAAAATCCTAAAATCTTCTCATCAATCTCCCAAAATAGAGGGATAGTTTCACCAGGCGGCCGCCCACCCTACTCCAGCGATTATCTCCACCTTACCCAACTTGTTTGCTCTACCAGACTGTAGTAGTTCAAGCGACATTTCACACGCAGCTCTCTGGTTCGTGTTCTCAACTCATCTGGTTCGCATACCCGACTCATCTGCTCCTTCGCACGCAACCCTTTGCTTGCTCCGTCCGCCTGCAGTGGTTCACGCGGCATTTCGTGTGCAATCCTCTACTTTGCATTTCAATCCGTCCACTTGCACTTATTCACGCTGCCTCCTTCTCTGGTTCGTGCACACCCGACCTAACCCGATCTGCTTTCCTGGGATCCACACACCCGTATGACGCCAAGCTCTTTGGTTCGTGCTTCGTGCTTCGAGCTGCTCTGTTCGTTCAAGACACCAGTTTGTGCACAAACAAGCTTCGCAGATCTGGCTTCGCCGCTTGACCTGATCAATTTTTTTGGGATTCGTGCGGCCGTGTGCGATTCTTGTCCTCCCAACTGTGAATGGTCGCGATTTGCCCTCCCTTGGCACGCGAATAACATTTGTTTCCGTAGCCTAAGTGAGCTGTTGTGGTGAGCCGCTTCCAAGTTGATCTTAGCCATATTTTGGAGCCAATCTGAGCTATTTTTTCTGTTCAACAAATGTGGTTTCAGGTTGTAGCAATTTTTGCATCCTTGATAATAACAGGAGTAAAGAGATTGTTGGTTCCAAGTTCGTAGTACCCTTCCTCAACCATTGGTACGTTAAAGATAGTAAACTCAGGTATTACCCCTCTTTACTATTTTTAATTCTGATACTTGGATTATACACTTTGGAGCTAACAGACACATGACAGACTTTTCTAAAGATTTTCTGACCTATTTTTCATGTACTCAACGAGAAAATGTTTGTGTTGCGGATGGATCATACACTCTTGTATCTGAAACAGGTTCCATTAATTGTACTTCAATCATTCTACTGATTTTAGTTCTTTATGTGCCTAGTTTTTCTAATAGTCTCTTATCCATTAGTGTCCTTACTAGAGATGTTAACTATAAAATTAAATTTTTTTCTAACTATTGTGTCCTTTAAAATCTTCAAATAAGAAAAACGATTGGCGTGGGTAAACTGCAAAATGACTTATATTTTTTGAATATAAGTCAAAATGTCATTGGGAATCAAGTTGCCTTCGGAGATACGGATGTGGAAATCTTACAGTTGCACCGACGGTTAAGACATCCTTCTTTCTTTATTTTAGAAAAATTATATATCGCACATTGTTTAAAAGAACCTCTATAGATTTCTTATTGTGTGATGCATGTGAGGTAGCTAAACATAGGAGTTCATATTATGTGAGTAATTGTAAAAGTTTTACTTATTTTATGATCATTTATTCTAATGTTTGGGGATCTACTTAGAATACATCTTTATCTGGCCATAAATGATTTGTTACTTTTATTGACTGTTGTACTAGATTAACATGGATTTATCTGTTGAAAGACAGAATTGATATGTTCCTATGCTTTCAATCATTTCATAAAATGTACACAGTTTAATGCTCAAATTAAAATTTTAAAAATAGACAACGGTACAAAATATATGGATGGTGGATTCCGTGCCTACTTAGAGTCTAATGGGATAATTCATCATATAAGTTGTGCTTACACTAATGAACAGAATGATGTTACTGATCGAAAAAATAGACACATATTGGAGGTAGTTTAGTCACTAATGTTCACTATGAATTTACCAAAAAGTTATTGAGGAGATGCAGTTTTCTCTGGCGTCTATTTTATTAATAGAATGTCTTTGTGGGTTCTTGATTTTAGAAGTTCTCTAAAAGTTTTGTAAGGTACAAATTTCTATATTGTTCTGCTAAAATGTTTGGATGTGTTTGCTTTGTCTATGTTAGAAATGTAAGTAAGTTGAAACCTAGAGTTCTCAAATGTGTATTTGTTGGATATTTTTCTACTTAAAAAGGTTATAAGTGTTATCATCCACCATCTAAGAAATATTTTGTGACTATGGATATTTTTTTTAGAGAATCTGAATTATACTTCAAATTCATTCCAACACTTCTTGAGGGGGAGAGTGAAATGGAAGAGGTGATGCTCAGTTTGGTCACTCTTGACAATCATTAAGGGGATAATTTTATATTAGAAGATCCTATTCAAGAAGAAAATATTGGACGACTGGATAAACCGGATTTGAAAAAGTGTTCAAGGAGAGATAAGACTGAAAAAACCATCATGCAGTCTATTCTAGGTCAAGAATTTTCTTCAATTCCTAAAAATACTAGTGAGTCATCTTTGTCTTGTGAATTATCTGATAAACTCATTATTTTTAGAAAAGAAATAAGAACTTGTACTAATCATTTTATGGCTAACTTTGTCTCTTATGATTCTCTATCTCCCTCTGATAGAGGTTTTGTCTTGTCTATTTTTTCTGTGTTTATTACACAAGATTGGAGAGAAACTCTAAAAGATCTCAAATGAAAGAAAGCGATGATTGAAGTAATAAAAGCATTGGTAAAAAATGAAATATGAGAGCTTGTTTCAACTCCACAAGGAAAAAAGATGGTTGATTGTAAGTGAGTGTTCACTGTAAAATACAAAACAGATGGGTTAATTACAAGATACAAAACTAAACTAGTGGCTAAAGGATATACTCAAACCTATGGAGTTGATTATTAAGAAATTTTTGCGCCTGTCGCAAAAATGAATACAATCAGAATATTACTATTCTGTTATGCTAATCTTAATTGGAATTTACACCAGTTTGATGTAAAAAATGTCTTCCTCCATGGGGACTTAGAGGAAGAGGTATACATGAAGATCCCACTTGGATTCGAAGATGAAAGAGCACAAGAGAAGGTTTGCAAATTAAAGAAAACCTTGTATGAATTAAAACAGTCTCTAAGAGTATGGTTTGGAAGGTTCAAAAGAGTTATGATCTCTTTCGCATATTAGCATAGTAATGCTAATCATACTCTGTTCATCAAGTATTGTGAGTGTAAGATCACTCTTCTCATTGTTTATGTAAATGATATTGTAGTGATTGAATATGATACAAAGGAGATGACTCGACTAAAGGGATTTCTTGCTCGAAAATTTGCAATTAAGAATTTAGAAAAATTGCAGTACTTTTTGGGAATTGAGGCTGTCAGATCTAATAA